CCCCCAAAACCCCAAAACCCCAAAACCCCGGGTGTAAAATTTAAGATTGATTCATGCATCAAGTGAATTATATTAACTTCTCAACTCTTTTTTGGATTAACATTCTGTTCCGGTTGATGATCTCTTGCCGCAATTGGCCGATGTTCTGCAAGCTAGGGTCTTGGATGGTGCTCAGGATTTCAGAGTGCTGTAAACCGATGTTTGATGAATATTTTAGAGCTGATTTGGGTGCTGTAGGGGTCAGTTTGCTCTCCTCGTGAATGGGGAATCTTTTTAGATTTTTTCTAATTATGTTGGGAAGAGGCAAAATTTGGATTTTAGTGGGGGATTTAATTTTTTTGATGCGAGAAACGATCGATTTTATTAAAAATATGAATCAAACAATGCTTCCGATAATTGGGGAAGCCATAAGAATTTTGATGTAGAAATCTTCATAAAATGGAGTCCACCTCGATTTCGTATTTACCCAAGCTAATGGAACAGCAAGAGAACAAAATAAGATCTGGTTGATGCATTCAATAATATTATCTTGAGAGTTCTCATACGGTCTTACAATCAGGAGGTACCCTCCATAAGCAATGTTTATTCAATAAAACGCTGTGGCTTTGTAAAATGATGGAATAGTTTTCCCAAAAATAACAATTGAAATCAGCATGACTCTGAGCATCAAAAAGATAGTTGTGTAGAGGTTAGAGTATTTGCCTTGCTTGACTCCATTGAAAAACTCCTTACACTTCCAATATTTCTCATTGTCTATCTCTGGAAGCGATTTCTTATACATGTACAAAGAAAGGAGGAGTAAGCAAAGTCAAGCCATGACGGTAACAATGCAGAACCCGAACGAAATCTTCACCATCGTTGTCTTCAGGTTCAACGAATAAATTTCAGAGAAAGTGCAGAGTATAGTGAACACAAATGCCTGTATGAAGGTCCGAATGTAAATGTTGAAGGTAAAAAATTCAAATAATTTATTGAAGAACTTCTTACATCTCTCTTTTTCAGATTTCCTTGCCCATTTTGTCAATATGTAAACTCAAATATGGCTTAATACGAGCAAAATAGTTAAGAATATAAAGGAAAAATAGTTAACAATAGAACTTCCTGAGCTCATCCCAATGTCTTCCAAGTATTCATCAGTCTGCGGATATTTTACCCAGTTTGTGATAATTTTAACAACAGGAATATCTTTGAGATGAATGAAATCAAATGAGAACATTGCGAAGCCCATTCCATTCAAGAAATCAATGACTTTAAGGGAGAAATATTCTGGAACTAATGGCAGGAGCATTGCAAGTTGCAGGCTATTCATCATACAAAAAATAGAGTTGATAGAAGTAAAAGAAAGAGCAGATGAAGCAGAAGCAATAATCATACTTGCCCCAATAAAAGCAGTGGCAGTTTGAGTAGCTCCAGCCGGTGAAGTTTCAACAGGGGATTGAACTTTAGATCATAATGTTTGCCCACCAGAGCTTTGAAATCCATTTGCTCAAGTTTCTCAAATACTAGAATCTCCTAATCTTCAGAGTTCACAGTTCTGAATGGGTCACTCTTCAACAGTGATCTCAAACATTTTGTAGCGAACTTCACTGTTAAAAGAGATCTGCAGAGAGAAATAAAAAGTCTCTGCCACTGTGAGCTTTGGAGTAATGTTAAGGTGCAGCTCTTGCTTGACTGCATCCAGCTGCACCCACTCAGGAAGCACATTGGACCCAGTCTGCACCAAGCTAAAGCTAATGGAAGTAGAATTTGAGGGTGGAGCTCAGGCCCACGTGAAATTCAATTTGACTGAGGTGCTGCTCTGAACAGACTGGATGTGGTCTTGGTTCCATAACGCCACTTGTGTTGTAAACGAAGGATCAATGTCAGTAGTGTTGTCATTAGTCGATATGGGGGAGGAAGTTGAGATAGAGAGTATGTTAGTACTCGAAGAAATGCTAGGATTTGATGCTGTTGAAGAAACTTGATAGTCAGCAGTAATTGGGGTGAACAAAGGAGTGCCTTGCTCAAACTCTTGAAGTCTCTCGATGCTGTTTATAGGTGACCTTGCAAAGAAAGATACAGCATTATCATTCCCTCTTCCACAATGGTACATTAGTTCTTCACCATTGTATGTTAATCTTCCAACAGCATAAGCCATCGAATCCACAGACCTATACTCCTTCAGAACTTCTAGGGTTTCGGAGTTTACCAAAATTAATCTTTTATTTTGGAGTAGTAAGTTACTATGAATCTGAAAAGCTATAAAAGCAGTAAACTCTTTCATTCAGAAACTGTTCATATACCCATTGTCATTCCAGATCAACCCTGAGGTTTGAGGTGTTCCATCAGTTATGTTAAGTTTATGAAAAATGAAATTTGAGCCATAAAGTACCATTGTATAGACCCACTGTTCATCCTCACTTAGAAGGGAGTTGCCTATTTTGCTTAATCAGCCTGAGGTGGGACAGGCAATGCTCTTCTTCCAGATCAGACTAGAAGAGGAGAAGTTATAATTTACCAGATAGTATTGATCACCTGTTGCATCTATCGATCCAGAGAACAGTAAGTCGCTACTAATTGGAGCAAAATTGATATGATTATTAACTCCGAAAGAAAATCAGTCAAGGGTGATGCTTGAGTAATCCCATCTGCAAGTATGCATGATTGTGCTGATTTTTATGCTAAAATAAAAAACTTTGCTCATTTCTATGTTTGAATTAGTAGTAATCGTAGAAGAGCTAACTGATAACTCTCTGGAGATGGCCAAGTCTAAAGTCTGGATCTCAAATATCTTTGATGTTCTTGAGTCTAGCAGATAAATTAACTCTTTGTTAAGAGATATGGCATAAGAATAATAGGGGCCGTAGATAGCATAAGTCATCACTTTAAGTTTTGTCATATCAGAATCAGACTTGTAGATTATTGTGTTATAAAGAGGAGCTGAGCCAAAATACCCTACAAAATAGAGTAATTCTCTATCTTGATCTTCAAGAATATCCAAAAGGAAGCTAGTAGTAATTCCAGTCATTACAAAATTTCCAGAAAGAGGTGATCCCACTTTCTGTGAATCATCCTCTCACATATTGGCTCTCACAGCTATAATTCATAAGAACATTAACAATATAAGCCTCATTTTATTAGTATTAATTATATTATTCTCTGCAATTTATCTAATGTGAATTGGGGTTTTGGGGTTTTGGGGTTTTGGGGTTTTGGGG